GGCATACGCCCAAGTCCCATATTTTCCTACGGACCCTTCGGGACCGTCAAATCACGGGTCTGGGTCCGTTTACCCAAAATGTTGACCGAGGTCAACTTAATTCATTTTATAATTAAAATTTATCATTTTTCACAGATTTTCATATATTAGCTTTCCGGCTATGCGCTCGGACTGCGCACACAAATCGAGGTGATGTCAAAAGAGGTTTTTAAGGCCTCAGAACGCAGAATTTTATTTTAAAACAAGTGATGACCCCTTTGGGTCATCACACGCCGTCGTCGTCGTTCGCTCGGCTCGGCTTCGGATTTGGATTTGATCAAATGATTGATTGATTGATTAATTTTTTGGACCAAATTTATTTGTTAATAGTAAATATTAACAGAAATATTATTAAATTTTCATTTAATAACAAAATATTAATATTAATATTAAATCCAACAAATATTAAACGTTTTTTGGTTATCCGTTTTCTGTTTTTCGGTTGTGTAACTGAAAATTAACCTCACTCTTGAATTCCCGGTTTATTGTTGCGCAAATAGCCATTTACGTTATGGCATTTATGCTATGTTCGTTTTGCATAAACAGTCATTCTGAAGAGTTGTATCTCTTCAATTTTCAGCCCAACATTGGCTATAAATACAAGTCCATTCTTTCAGTTTTTCCATACGATTTTCTGAGTTCTCCTCCTTTCTTCTGCATACTTTTAACTTCAAAGAAAGCAACAGTAAGTGTGATTTGCTACAGAACTTTGTGTTCGCTGAAACACTGGGGTTTTAAATACCATTACATCAGTATGTAATTCATTCTATCCTAGAAGGAAATAATCCATAACCTTGGGTACTAGGATGAGATTAAATTCCTTAAGGAAACACTGTGAATTCAGTAGACTCGAATTAACTTTTTTTTCATTTATATTTTCTGTTTATATGTTATTTTATCTTTTCCAGAATTACTTTACAAATACAGTTTATTAACATATACTGCTATAATCAGTAGCACGGAAAGTAACCTCTAGCTTACTAGTCCAGATGTCAAAATGAATTCGAATCCTAATTGTCCAGTTACTTAGCTGTTAACTATGCAAAAAGAATAAAAAAACCACTGATTGCTTTTTACCTATTGTAACTTGTAAGGACTCTATTATCAAGACATTTCACTATATGAAAAGTTGTTGTGACGTTGTTTACAGCAAATCAGTTAACAATTTTTTTATTAAGTTTTATATTTTAAGGGGATTACCCAATGATGCGTATATATGGGCTTTTGAAGTAAATGTGCTTACATAACTCGTTAAGAATAACTCTAATTGACGAGGGAGGAAAATTATGGACGCCAATTTCATGGTATTGTCAAGCAACCTAATGCTCTTTTTTCACGTCGACCATCTTATGGTAAAAAGTTATTCATATCGAGTATTTACACGAAGCCAATAAATATAAAACATATGTTTTGCAAATATACTTTTAAAACTTAATCATGGTTAAGTGATAAATATTATCACTTTGATTTGTTGATTCTTAAGGTTAATTACTTAGTTAGGTGTCAACACTCTGATGCAACAGGTAAGTATTTATCCCATCTTATATTGAATTACTACCTCTTTTCTTGTTTTTTTTTTTTGGGCTTATATTGCTGAATTTACACTGATTTTATAAGACACACATATACGCTTGTAAACTGTTGTTATAGTAACCTATATCCTAACACAACTCCACCTTTTCTCCACCAATTGCATAATCTTGCTTCCCACATAGATATCACTTGATGGGACCAAATCTAAAAGCCTCTTAGATTTGACAAAAGATGGGCTTTATCGGTAGCATTTGAAAGAGATATAACAACAATATGTAGTGACTAGGGATGAGGGGACTATACACAATAATGTATTATGAATGGGACTCCAATTTGGAAAAAGAGGAAGAAACTAATCATGGGGGAAGAGGCCATATGCTATCTATAACTATAAGTGTACTAATCTCCATCGCATTGTGTGGAACTTGTGCCTCACTTTTTGTAGACATTACCAAAAGCCCTTGTCCCAAACTAGATGAATGGATTTAGTATTCTTTTTATTTCTAGACGTTTCTTTTTTTGCTCTCATGGAAATAGTGGATGAGTCATGCGTTTAAACAAGTTTAATGCATAAAGGGGTCACTATGACGTGTATAATAAACAATACAATGAATAATCATATAAAGAATACAAAGTTACAAATGATCAAACAAATAATGGAGGCAAGGAACACAAAAATAACGAACAAAACTAGAAAATACAAGAACTGAATAAAAATGTAAGCAATTATGCATATAAACAACGAAACAACAAGAAAAGATTAATATTGTACATACACAAGCAACTAAACGAAGTTAATTTGAACCATATTTATAAATACTTGAACCCAAGCCCTTTAGAGTTGTCAATATGGGCCGGATCGGGTTAGCTCAGTCCAGCCCATATGAGTTTTCGCAATTGATGGTTTGGGCTGGGCTAGCCCACCATTTTGATGGGCCTTAAAGTGATCAGCCCACCCCAGCCTTATATAGGCCGCGGGCCCTCATAGGACGGCCATTATTTTTTAAAATATAATTTTATATTTTTTCTTTAAGTTCTAACGTAAAAACGAATAAATATTTAAAAGTTATAAAATATTTTATTGAAAAAATTTCGCAAAACTTAATAACTTTTTATATTGTTTCAGTATATCACAATAAACACTAAAAAGATTAATAAATAAAAAAAAGACTATATTTCATTCACTAAAAGTCAAAACTCAAAACAAACTATTCAAGAGAATGTCCATGACGATTAATGGATATCCAACGCATCATCAAACACATTTGAATTCACTTGTGACAAGGTTGTCTTAACATCTTCACTTTCATCTACATCTACCATTCATATGCAATATTAATTAGTTAAATATTAAGAATAACTAAATTTTAAAAACTAAATAATATTCAAATTCACATAAAAAAATATTATCAGTTTGAGTTTGGAAAAAGTCGTGCAACAAATTTCGAGTAGTAACATGTGTTTGGACATTTTCATGATGGATGCAACTTTTGTACTTCGTCTTAACATATCAACTAATGCTAAATGTTGATTTTGATGCTACAGTGGTAATAGGAATACTAAGTACATCACGCGCAATCACAGAAAAATCGGGATATTTTTTAGAATGGTCCTTCCAATACATTACAACAACCATCTCTTGAAACATCTCAAGATCAAGCTTCGGTTCCTCTAAATAAAGATCCAATTTTGACTTTCCATTGTTAAAGGCAATATACTTTTTATATTTTACATATTTTAAATAAATATTTTTATTAGGCCCATGGGCCGGCGCAGCCTAGCCTCAGTCAAGCCTCACGGGCCACGGACTTACTCGGGCTGAGTTTAAAAGCCTCGTTTTTAAATGGGGTCCAAAAATTCTAGCTCAATCCTGCTAAATCACGGGCTGGACTGGCCCAATGGGCCAAGCTCATATTGACAGCTCTAAAGACATCTGCTTTGAACTTCTAAGTCTCTGCCAAGTGTAATAAGGCTTCAGTTTTATCCTTTTACCTATTAGGTTCATAAACAATTACTACATTTTCTGAAAAAGTAATCTATTTAAACTATAAATATTTTCGGCCAGAACCATTTTATTTAGACCCCTTTAGCTCAAAAATGGGTCCAATGTTGCTTGGAGTCATCAATAAAGAAGTATTTAGTAAAGCGTCTACTAACCCCACTCTTCTCTTTTGAGAAGCCATAGCCTCAAAGTTTTTGTTTATCTTCTTTCCGTTACCACCACCCTGAGTACAGTGGATGGAATTATCTGTCATACACGTCCGCGACTGCAACTCAAATTTCGAACTACTTTCACAATCATTAAGTTAAGAGAGGATAAAATACCCAAAAAGAAAAAGGAAAATTAGTTAAGAGGGCAGATGACGAGTACCAATAATTAATTGTGGTATAGAATGTAACATTTTCAATGATTCTGAATATTCAACGTAATGCCAGAAACTGCACCAAAGGTGTAAACTGCTAACCATTAGAATTTTCCACGCCAACATTTCTGATTTGGGAAGTAAAACACATTTCTCGTTTAATCAAGTTCAAGTTGAAATTGACTCCATATCTGCATCCGCTTTGTATAATTAGTTTCTAGCCTTGCAGGCGGTGTAACCTAGGGGTGTCAATGGATATTCGAAAACCGATTAAACCGACTGAATCGTACCGCACTGAATCGACTTTTAGGTTTCTTTTTAAGAAACCGTAGATTTTTATATAAATCTATAACCGCACCGATAATTAAGGTAGGTTTTTTATTTTATAAAAATAAATCGAAAAAATACTGAACCGTACCGAATAAATTTTACATGTAGAAAATATATTTATTTAGTAAGTTTAAAAATAATAATGCGTTAAATTTTCTTTGAGCCTTGGAATTATAAAACTATTACAAGCCAACAAGTAATTAAACTCAAAATACTAATTTGTAAAACCTATTAACTTCTACTTAAACTAAGTTATTTCAAGTATCTTTATTAGCAAGACACAGTATTCTAGCGATTATGAGTAGCAAACTACAATGTATTGAATATGTTTCCCTTCATATAATTAAGATTTATCTTTTTGAATATTTAATATTCTATACACTTTATTCTTGAGTCCCAACTTGGTATATCTTTCAACTCGGGTGACTAATATTTTCTTTGCTTTTGTTTGATTTCTTTTACACTGTTGTAGAATAGTTGATGGATCTATACTCTAGCCATCTTTTTTTTTTTTAATTCATCACCCTTTAAACAGTAAAAATATCTAGAGAGTTTTGTTAAGTCCTATAAAAGAACGTACGTTATTGCAATTCTACTTTACTAGTGAATTTTACATGATATTAAAAAAAATACCGAAAATTAACCTAACCGTACCGATACCGAAGAGAAACCGACACGATTGGGACGGTTTCGAAAAGTCTAATCTTGGTTATACATAATAGAATAACCGAAAAATTGGTATGGTACAAATTTTATAAAATAACCGGCCGAACCGAACCATTGACACCCCTAGTGTAACCACTTAGACATTATGCTTAACCATTACAAATGTTACCATTCTCAAAAAAATTAACCTACAAATACAAATGATACCATTCTCAACAAAAAAAAAAAGAAGAAGATTACAATGATTGACATATCAAGCTTCACATTTTAACTTATGCAATACATTATAAGTGGTCCTAAGAAGGATACACCTAATTAATATACATCCATCAACAACAACAGAACCAAGAATTCTGGGCAATCTCATTAAGAGACTGCAGCTGCTTGACGAGAATGGTGATCCCTGCACAGTTCTTCGGATTCATGATTCAAAGAAGAAACAGCATCATAGGTGTAAAGCCGTCTTAGTTCCACAAGGATGATTACTGAAGGCTTAAGACTGGCCGGAGATGACTTCTGAACCGCTCCAGTTCCTCACTTCCACCAAATTAGCAACATTGTTTCTGATCTATTCAGCTACACTATAAGAAGCTTGTGCCTAAGGTCAAGTCATTCAAGTTTGACATTATTTGCATCCGTGTGGTTCCAATCTGCTGAGCTATCTCAAGCTGTTCCTCCAATGGGAGCATCTCATAGCTGCAAAATGAACAAAGATATATACGTTAATGATACAAATTCAGATGCAACTATAACTGATCACCATTGTCAAACAGATAGAAGTATATAAAACATTCAAACATAATTGGGATGCGTAATTGCAGACAATTCAGATGTCTGAGCTGTCTTATAAGATAATGTTATGATAGATGAAAAGGTAATATAAAACATTAAAACAGAATGATAGAAGAGAAGTGCTTCAGGACTGCCAAGCAATAGGGAGAAACCTAACAAAGTAGAAACCAAGTTCAATAAGACAATAGTAAAACCAAAAATGTGGAAGTGAATGTTGGGCCTCTAAGGTTTAAACTTGCCCATAAGATGAAAAGTTGCTGAAATATTGATCTTAAGATAGAAATCGGTGTTGTTAAAGGCTCATTTGAGGGGCGCTAAGATGCTAAAGCGAGGTGAAGCTCAGGCTGTGCCACTACGTGCTTTGCCTCGTTTTACGATTCTTAAGTGCTAGTATAAGGTTGTAAGGTGTGCGTCTCATTGCCCATAGGCTATTCTAAGAGGTTAATTGATTTTGTGGTCCATTACAATTTTTTTAGTTTTATGTCAAATCTCCTAATAAATCTGTTTTTTTTACACTAAAAGATCTGAAAACTGAACACGATCTTTGCAGGGTCATTTTCTTCTATTCAAATTATAAATGGTTATGTTGAACCTTTTCCTCGCTATCTAGAAGATGGTGGCATTAGACAGTATAATCAGAAAAAGAAATATATTATTAAAAAGAGGTTATGAATGAATTTGCTACTTATTTAGGAAGAGGAATTTAGAGATTTCTTTTAGAAAACTAGTAGCTTAAACTGAATAAGAAACTTAAAGTACATTTTTTCATCTAAATCAAAATTTTAAATTGGTTTTTGAACCTACATGCTTTATACTTCATCTACTTCTTTAATCATATCTTTTTTCAATTACTATGTTCATATACAATGATTTTTCTTTGATTATAGTTTCTTTACTAGCATTACGTATATAATTTTTATTTTTCCTTCATTGTGACTTTCTTTACGCCCAAGTTTTAGTTGTGTTTTGACCTTGAAGGCCTAGCAGACCTTGGGCACTTTTTTGTGCTTTTAGCCTTTGATAATGTGAAAAAAATAAAATAAGCAAAACCTTAAAGTGCTGGGAGGAGTGACCCAAGACATTATAAATTCTTTTTTTTTGAGAAGGAACATCATAAATTCTTTTTGGAAACCCTTATATTATAAAGAATAAGAGATAAGAGTATTAACTAACACCCTCCCGCACGAGTAACCCAGTTATAAGGTTTACGCACAGACTTAGACTTCTCTTTTTTTTCTTTTTTTAGCTTATTCTTTTTTGTCCTCTCTTTAGAAGACTGAACATTGGACTTGAAGTAGGGAGAGGGAGAGACAGTAGGCTCAAGAGGGAGTCTGGAGTCAATAGGCTCAACATGCTTAAGGACTGGGCTGGGAGCAAATTTAGCCGCTCAATAGGTTGAATTTAGCGAGATATGAGAGAAGCCCCAAGTGATAGAATAGATAGAGAGGAATGATTGTGAAAATGGACTTACCAAAGTTTGGCACTGATACCACGTGAAAGAATCTAAGTGTTCAACCCAAAACCTTAAGGTAATGGGTGAGCCCCTTAGGACATTATAAATCCCTTCAAATTGTATGGAGGAAGTTAAACACATGCAATCTCCCCAAGTCAATGCAGACTTAGCTAAGAACAGAAAACAATAAAAGCAAAATGAATTGTATAAGTTATACCAACCAGTTAGGATCAACGCTTAGTTGTTATTACACATATTAGATCAAGTATTTTCCAGAAGTTCTTTTAATCTAGCCAAGACTCATATGTCTGCCTAGCAACAAGTGTGAGATCTAGAGTACCCCATTTGTCTTAAAAGACAAACTACTGTATGCATGGAGTTCTTAAATCTAACCAGAAAGCAAGATACTTTCTTATTCATTTACCACCAAACAAAATATGGTGCATATATCTCAATTGTCTAAACAGGGAAGAAAGCAACACATGAAAACAATTCTGAGTAAACCGAAAAGAAGTGCTCAACAGCTCCAGAGGGCAGAGACTACTTACTGGGATAGCAGCTCATAGTCAACTATGTTGTCTGGACCAGGCCGATGAGCTTTTCCATTTGAACGGAACTGCCGGAATGATCTTGGATTTAGTCCAGCAACATGGGTAACAGCACTGACAAGCTTTTTCTGCAGGGACTGAAGCCTACGAAAAGTAAGTTCATCCAGAGGGGCTATACAGCCAAGGCTGCCATCTAGTGTCCCAAACACTGAAGCGAAGCGATTTGTTTTATCAGACCCTGGAGTGGTACCAGTTCGGTCAGATATAGTGGGAAGCAACTGCAAGCGTAAGAACTTCGTAATGCGAGAACCAACATGGAACTCAGCCCTAGACAGAAGCTTCTGCCCTTTCCAACTTTCTGACACCTTCGGAGCATAGTAGAATATCTACATTCAAGAATATTATCAAATTAGGATCAGATATCAAGGCCCATGATTAAATTTAAAGAACACAGCGAGTCTTTCAAACATTGCTAAACACAACGACAGTAGCAAGTAACAAAAGATATTTGTTCCTTTGATAGAGAACATTAGGAGAAATGTTATGCAACATCAATGATGCTGACCACAGGATATCAGAATAACTATTGCAAGTATGACTAGCTATTTACATACTATAACTACGTTGGTGGCCTCAAACTTCTTTAGGAAATTATCATTCTCGGAAATAATAAAATTTCGTGACTTAAATGCTAAATGTTCACGGCATACTCAGTGGCAAAAGCAAATCTGCATCTTTTTCATGCATTAGTATTGTCTGTCATTGCAGACTCATCCACCTTTTCATAATCAATGTGAGCCCCCATTCTCCAGGCCAATGGAAAAGAAAGCAAATAGTAATAACAATAATAATGTATAATGCTGGGGCAAAGATATACAGAATGGTGCTTGCTGGCTGTGTTTATCACATACGACAGGAGAGGAACTTGAGGGTATTTCAAAAGAAGCAGAGGACAAGTGATATTATACTAAGACTGGTCATCCAAGAGGTGTTTTGTAGAGGTTATCTGAAGAGCAGACTAGCTAGGAGATTAGAATCTGCAAATTTGTATCCTTCGATGATATAGCTGGTCGTTTGTATTTTAGTAGCTACTGGGGTTGGGGCAATATGCCCAACTTGCAGCTCTAGTTTCTGGGTTTTTGCTTTGTATTGTACAGTTTATCCCTTGGTAAATAAAACCTCTTAATCACCAAAATAATAATAACAATAATAATGGAGTTTCGTGGGGCAGGAAAATCTCGTATACAAGACGTATACCAAAAAGTAGAGAACCTACACCAGAATATGATTCTCTACGAAAGAACACCAATCATCCATACACAGAGGCACCTTAGGGTGTCCAATGTTGTTAAAGGCTTGCCTAAGGCGCACTTAAGCCCTGAAGCTCTGTGAAACCCGGGCTGTGCACTTCGCGTCGCTTAATTGGAGCTTTAGTGTAAGCATGAAGGTGCTAAGGCGTGTGCGATTTAACTGATAGGTTCAGACTTTACAGGCACAGCAGCATACCTATAGTTTAGTTATATTTTCTCATTCCTTTGCACAAATAATTATTGTTTGTGTTCATAGTTACATTTCTTGCATTATATTTCTATTTTTTATTTTGTTTTCTTCATTGGCGTTTTTTTTTTTTTTTTTTTTTTTTTTTTTTTTGCTAAAGCCCATACCTTAGTTGCACTTTACTCTTAAAGCTCCAACAGAGCTTGGCGCTTACAACCTATTAAACTGAATTTGTTGTGTGAACTTCAACTTTCACAGAAGAATGATGGCCTTCAAATAGAATGAGGAAGTTATAGCCTTGACAAAATAGACAAAATATAAAGATAAAATATACCTGAACATTTTTTTGATCATCTGAAACTACAAGACTGAGAGTGCTACCATCAATCAAGAACTCTGTTGCTAAACAGTCAAGGGAACCAAAATCTTTAGCTAATAAATTAAGCTGAGGCTCTTTCCAACTGATGAAGTATATACTCTTGTGAATGTCTCCAAGAAGAATAAAGTTCTTCACCTATAACATTTACAATATTGAACGAAAAAGGCATGAGAAAAGTTCAGAATATTAATTGTGAGAAGCTCAGAGAAAGTAAAGGAAGAAACTCCAAATACTATCAACAACAACAACAACAACAACCCAGTATAATCCCACTTAGTGGGGTCTGGGAAGGGTAGTGTGTACGCAGACCTTATCCCCACCCTGGGGTAGAGAGGCTGTTTCCAAATAGACTCCCGGCATCCTTCCCTCCAAGAACTTCCCACCTTGCTCTTGGGGAGACTCGAACTCACAACCTCTTGGTTGGAAGTGGAGGTTGCTTACCATCAGAGCAACCCCTCTTGTCCAAATACTATCACGGTTCGATATTGTTTTGTTCAAGAATGAAAAGTATTATACAATTAGATCTTTCATTTTTGAAAAACGACAAGGATTTTGAGAATAAAACATGAAAACAAGTTATGTGCTCCTCCCAACAGTCGATGCAATTCGTTTTCTAGTTTGAGCTAACAAAAATGATTATTCCAACTGCAAGTACTATTGATAGGAGAACCTATAAACCAATAGCAAATTGCTTGCTCCCTTCATTACATTCTGTTCAGGTTATACTTTGATCCCTGTTGAAGCATATACTTGCCGGATGGATGCAGGGCGGACGATTTTAGAGCGGGCTGAGCTGTCACAAAATGATTTATCTCCCCAAATTTTGTAACTGTTACTGATACTGCAGAAAATATAGAAACTGTGCCACTTGGATTCACCAAATTATGACTGCATCTATGCACTTTTTACCAAATTATGATTGGAACTCCTCAATCTAGGTGCGCCCCGACGCTTCTATATGATTAATTCATCATGAGTTCTATATGATTAATTCTCAGAGGCACCATAATCTATGTACCTTCCCCAGATGAAAGGGAAAAAGTACTGAATGAACACCCAAGTACTTAATCTTCACTGGAAGTGTTTGATCTGATTTTATAAAAAGGTTTTTTGGAAATGAAGGAAAAGCCACTATGAATTGTACTTACAATATTTAGGCTCACAACATGGAGTGGAGGAACATCACAAAAAGCAACTCCATTCAACTCAGACCCCGTCCATTTGTGCAAGATAATTTTAGGACCAGAAGCTATCAACAAGTGACCTTGAAGTGAAGCTAAAGCAGATATAGCACCCTTCAATTCCTTTGAGTAGACTTCTGAGACCTGAAACGATTTCGAAGGACAGAGTGAAAGGTCTCATTTTGCCAATAAAAAAAGAAATATGAAAGTGAATAGCCATGTGATGGAAGATACCAAAGTTCGAGAATTATCAGCATTTCGGTCTACAGAAAACAAAAGCACACGTCCTCTTGCAGCAACATCCTCCCCTTGCACATAAGCAGTTCCAACTGCCAATAGTGTTTCATTCTCTCTGGTTGTTGTATTCTGTTGTACAAATTGAAAGAGGAAACTATCAATTTGTGAAAGACTCCTCATATTCCTACTAAAGTGGTGTCCCAGTAGTGCTCCTGTTTTTGCTTTTTTTTTCCTCTTCTTCCTTTGGGTGGGTGGGTTGCGNTTAGTTTAGGGAACTGTAACATTCAACAGAGAAAATGCAAAGAGGAGCTGAATGTATATACCACTAGAAACAGAATCTTTTATTTCCCAAATTGGATTTTAAAGTTGTAGATTCTCTTAAATCAATTCTCCCCAGATTTTTATTCTCGATAGACCAGGCTCAATGATAAGAATCCAACCAGAAGGTTGTAACTTGACCTTCAAGAATTGAATGGTAAAAGTGTGGTCCATAAGATTGACCTTCACCAGCTGCGGAGGAGGTTAAGAATCCAACCAGAAGGTCGTCACTGAGGAGGAGGAGAGATTGCACTAGTTATTAAATTGTTCCCTTCTTTTACTATAGTAGTAGTTCTTTTCTGTAAGGAAACAAAAAGATAAATAGAAAAAGAAGAGGAATAAAAATGAACTCACAAGTAAAGTAACCACCCTCACAGTCAGAGCATTTTCAGAACTTTGCATAGGAATACTTGCCCTTGTTTGCCAGGGCCCACCAGATTTGTCTGGTTCCATAATCCGCACCTCAAATTCTTCTATAGGATAGTTCCCTTCAAAATTTATATTATCAGGATCAAACTGGTGGCCAACTTCTTGATCAGCTATAGTTGATAGGACTTGATTCAATGGCTTAAGAACCTGTCAGAAATAAGTAAAACTGTATGAGAACTTTTTTTTTTGGATTGGTAAATAATATATTATATAAATATTTGCACTAAGCCAGTGCAACAGGCGTAATTACAGGTTGTGCAAATCAGCAATTGCGTCTAAAATATCATCTACATCTGGTGCACCAAAAAACGATCAACAAAATGCAATTAAGTTTAAGGCACTGTAAATTTCTTCTTTTGCCTTCAAAAATTCTACTGTTTCTTTCAAGCCAGACGGACCACTAGATAACTTGAGGAACAGTGTTCCAGGTCTTTTGAGCTTTCTTGCATAGACCCTCCCTCATCCAGCAATTCAGCATTTCTGAAATGGAGTTAGGCATGGTCCAAAACATACCAAATATTGAAAAGAACATGTTCCATAACTGGTTTGTAACCTTGCAATGCAAAAAAAGATGGGTAACATCTTCAGATTGTTCTTCACATAAAGGACATCTGCTGCACAGCTTGAAACCCCTCTTCTGGAGATTGTTTTCTGTGAGGCATGCCTCCTTAGCCACAATCATTAAGCCAGTAAATATTAATGCTAGCCTGTCTTTTCCACCAATGATTCACATTTTCCTTTTATATTATTTTGTTCCGGGGGGGGGGGGGGTGTTATTTTCTCTCTGGAGGTCACACAGAAAGCTGACCATAACTGTAGTCGACTAATATGTTGTGCATTCATGCGTGGGAAGGTTATGTAATATTCACGTTGGTATAAGGTTTATGCCTCATCTCTGAAATTACCAGCCTAACAACATATATTAAAACATTATTAACAAACCAAGAACAGATAACAGAAGCAGGAACATATACTCACTGGAACTGAAACTATAATTGGGTAAAGATTCTTCTCAGCAAAATAAGTAACTTGATGTGGTGTTCCCTTCAGTGGTATCTGCATCTCAGTCCCAAAATAAAAGATAAGAAAGACAAGGGAAATGTTAAAATTCGGATATCCAATGAGAGAAATAAATATCAACTTTCTGCAGTAATGATATTGTACTCTAATTAATTTGAAAATGTTCGCAACAGTTTATATGCATCACTATAGTTATTTGTGCAGACTAGTAGTTCAACAACTACTAGATGTAATTGTCTCTAACTATGAAATTATACTAATAAGTCTCTCTAATCAATCAATTAGTTTACCAGTAGACAAATTCCCTTCAGTTTAGTAATCAATTTCATCAATCAATCAGTTATCCATTACACAATCATATTATCTTTGTTGAAGCTCTCATGGGAAATGCCAAAACTTTACACATCGATCGACAAAAAGGATATCCGTACAAGCACAGTTATTGTGACATCTTAATTCATCAAAAGCAAAACAATCCTAATATATCTGAAGGATCAATTTAAAAAGATATAATAAAAAACAAAAGCTTTTGAATTTCCTTAAAAGTATGTCTTTTGCGGTTATACAAAATAGAAAAACATAGAAATAACATTAGAAACAAGCATGACATTTGAAAACAATATTTGTAACATGCATAGTGTAAAATTGAGCAAACATATAACAAGTAAAGAAAATCAGTTAGCTGGTTGGCAAAAATGAATTCCCACCTTCTGCACTGGCCAATAGTTGTCATAGGACAGGAATGATGGAAGCTGGCATATTTTTAAAGTGCCCTGCAATGACAATAAGCAATCCATGGATACATGAGCAGAGACAGATGAAAGTCGGAACAAGCACAATTTCATTACCATACCTGGGCTGTTACGTAGATAGGTCCGTGATTACAGTTGACATTATGAAGAACAGTGAACGCAACGATAGGTCCGTCACACAGCTGCAGCAACAAAGCAACACTAATCAAGAAGAGCAAACATAAAGCATAAACGACCCAGGGTGAAAAGTCTGTAGCTTAGATAACAAAGGATATAGGTGAAATAAATGGTTTTGTGGTGCCAGGAAGGTTGTGCTTCAAGGCAAGGCCATGATTTCCTGATTCATTCTTCACACAAGACGCCACAAAACGCAGCCTAAACGAGCATCACTTTAATCTAAATTCACCAATCCCTTGACTCTTTACCCAGAAAAAAACAACTAGAATATGTGAAATACATATGGGAGCAAGTAAACAATAACCTGTGGATGTACTCGAAGTCGTTCACGAAATACCATGAACCAAGATGGCCTGGACCCGGTGAGAAATAATCCTTGAGAACCACCAATATTCTTAAAGACACTCATTCGCTGTGATGGGGTTCCAGATGACATCTCTTCCTTTGCATAATTCTCTACTGAAACCCGAACAAATCTTAAATTTCTGAGCCTAGATGCATTTGTACTGCTAAGACCAATGGAATTCTGTGACGAAACAGATCCATCAACTTTAGAAGAATTCTCTGATCCTTCAAAAACATATGCATGATAACACAGAATCGTCCCATCAGCTAATATCCCAAAAAGAAAAGGGCGGGAATATAGCCCTATCCACCTATGCATCATCAACTCCACCACGTTTATCTTCATGTCCTTAGCATTCTCTTTCTGTCCAGGGCCCATAACATCCTCAGTATTTTTCTTCAGACCATTGACTGGATCTTGGATAAAGGTGTCGACAAGGTGGGTTCTTCCAGATACGAATTTATCAATGGAGAAAACACAACTAAAATTGGGAACATCAAATATTTCAAGAGTACCATTTTCATAGCAAACAACACAATACACATCACCCTGATCATGGGTTACCCCATCTGCACCATCAATTGCCTCTCCCATTCCAGAAGAAAGCCAAGCATCAGTACTAGTCTTCCTGAGCCAAGGTTCAGGGCCTTTATCATGATATAGAGTACAAGCAGATACTGACTTTTTTGAGCTTTCAAATATTGATGGAACAGTAACAGAAACAGAGCACGATGATGGATCTGAAAAGGAACAATAATGTCAGTGTGGAAGAGAAACACAGGATAAATGCAAAAGTCGAGCGTAAACAGAGACATGTTTCAAGACAAAAAGGGAAAGACTTAAACTGCGAATTATGGAGTTATATTAACTAGCCCAGGCCTTTCAGAAATAACTGCATCTACTTTGACTACAGCTTGTACTATTCACTAATGCAGTATGATTCAGGCCAGTAGTAAGTCCCTTGGGAAATGTGCTACATGTATTAGCTTGATTCAAGTTCATTTTAGGGTCAGTTAAGTCATATTTCATTTCTATCGTGATTAATACGGACTAGATCAATATGCTTTCAGTGTCAATTTAATTTTTGATAACAAAGGTACTAACAGCTTGTTTGGATGGTTGTTACCTATTGTATCGTATCGTATTGTTACTTTAAATACGATGTTTGTTTTGATTGGTACTTAAATTTTATTGTATCGTATCGCTAAATTTGTCGTTACATAACGACGAAATGTGCCACTTTATGTAACAACCGATTTGGTGCGGTCGCGTCGTTACCTTGTCTTTTCTCTCAATCTCACCCTTCACTATTGTTAAATAATTTATTTTATCATTTACCCTACCTTTTTATATAATAAATTTACCCTATATCATAATTTTTATTTATAATATTACAAGTTTATTCTTCATATTGCTGGTGCGTGATGTCATGAAACGATGGAAAACGATACAATCTATCCAAACATTGTATTTATCAAACGATACAGTACAATACAATACAGTACGATACGATACATTATGAAACGATACGTAACAACTATCCAAACAAGCTGTAAGGAGCGTTCTGATAGTTTTTCTTGCCAGTAGTTAAAGTACAACGTAAAGAGCATGTAAAAAACAAATAAGCAAATACTCTACAAAGTTATGTTCTCAACTAATATGATGAACTAACATAGAACAAATAAACAACACTATATAAAATCTGTAATCTGTTAAGCTAGAACAAGATTTTATCACATTAAGCAACGAAGAAAGAGTTTGCTTGTTGGTTAGCACTGCAAGAAGAGAGGTAGAAATTTACAAAAGCAAATAAGTTTTATCTTAGTAGATATACCTCCCGGAAGAAGCTGAATACTTCCATTTGTCATTCTTAGTAAAACATAAGGGTCAGCTATCGAAACAGAAGATACGATAGAACTATCAGAACTCGAGCCAGATTCCACATTTGAAGCCTTAAAGCTCAGTTCTTGAGTCATAAATGCACCATCAAGAATTCGAGCGCCATGTGCAAACACTTGGATTACTCGACGTCTACATGAACAGAAGTATAATGTTAAGCTACTTTGTAAAAATTAAAAAACGCGTGCAACTGCTCAACATAACCAGCAACTGAAGGATATCAAAAAAATGAATTAGATCTAAATATCTAATTGGTCAATTTTGAAAAGCATTCAGCCAATAGCATAGATGAAACCAAATTCCACATAAAGGAACTAAATTCCTACAGTGTCGTTCATAACAGCCATAAATAAAAGAATAGATTATAACGTATTCTCATTTTTTATAAGGTATGACGTATTCTCATTTAAGAAAGCAGGGCCATAATCAAACTCTTCCTTTTGAATCAGTAGTAAGTACCTCTATATGGGGGGGAAGTTCGAAAATCTCCTCCAAATTATTGCACAACTTCTTGAACGTAAAATCAGGAGAAACACATTTCCCCTTTCTTTTTTCTTTTTAAAAGGTGATTATTTCAAAAAACGGAAACCAGTTATGATTAACAATATGATGTATAAATTATACTCTTGTCATTTCGGTTTATATGACCACATTCTACCTTGGTACTTCCAAAAAAAATTTGAGGCCATTCCATTTCTATGCAACTTTCAAGCATTAAAAATCATTAAATTATTCCAATTATTGACTTTGATGTGATATTTTCTCTATCATACTAGCTTTTCACCCGCTATTTTAACATTTTACTCTACTATCAAAAATCTAATATATAAGTCAACTTAACATCACAGACTCCATAACACACAAAATGAAATGGAGGGAGTAGTTATCAAATGAACAATACTGGCGCACAGAATAAAACGGAGGGAGTAGTAATCAAACAAACCAAAATAATCTAAACTAAACAGGCCAAGAAGGAAAGGAAAGGAAAGGTTAGACAACATTTGTGCACATTTGGGTCTTGTACCATGAACTATTTTTTTTCTTTTCTTAGTAAGGTAACAGTTTATCCATTAACACCAAGGTGGTACTGGCAATCAAATATTTACAGATTACAAGACCTTGTGTCTTATAAGGAGTCAAAAGAATCTCCAAGTAATTCTGCATCTACAACATAGTTCTCTTTGCACATTTTATGTAACAACTTTTATTCTCAAAACATCTATTATCCTTTTATTTGCACACAGTTTACACATTGTATGTAACTACTTCTATTCTCAAAACATTTATTATTCTTTTCTTTCCACACAGTCCATATGCATGTTGGAGCCATAGTACCATGAACTATTGTGCACTGTCTAATTACTAAATACCCAGTTTAGCAGCACAAAGTTAGGGAATACATCAAATACTATATGCCAAAAAGATATTGGAAGGGCAAGGGAAGATATGAACATAATGATTGAGCAAATGAAATCACCTCCCAAATAGATTTCCAGCAGCAATAGTATTTCCTTGAACATAGTAATCGACATTCTCTGTTACCTCCTCCAAATTATTTGCAGTCTGCAGAACCTGCCATAAGAAGATAAGAAAATAAAGTTATGGGCCTCAACATAAGATTTCAATTCCAGCTATAATGCGTAGATTGAAAAATAAAGAAAATACTATATATTTGGAAGCGAAAAGGATACCATCGTACGAGTCTCCAAACTAATAATCAAATATGCATGATATTCATCTTCTTCATCTGCCACCCTTGAGGATTCGTTGAGATGGCTACGCGCACTCTTGTGGTAAACAGTCCAAATTCCCTTGCAACCTGGCAAGGCTTCCTTCATGAAGTAAAAATTAAGCATCAAAATTTCTTTCTCCGGCTAGACTTATGTATACTGTTCACTAACAGGCAGTGTCACGATATGCTGAATATCTAAGATTAATTTAAAAGAACATCATAGAACATCTCCCATTAGTCCAAGTTTGATCCTAGTCAAGGTTGTGTATAAGAATGCAGAGAAACATAGAAATTCCTAAATGCTTAGCACTTAGAGAAAATCAAAATCGTCTCCTTGACATCAAGATAAGAACAAAGAAAAGCAAAGAGAACAATCACATCATTCAACATGAAAACGGTAATATCATGGAAAACATCAAAACACAGTGCAATTTTGTTCAGCAAAATTTTCAATAAAAATTAAACTTTCTGGCAAGGTGCCCATACATCAAGTAACTATTCCTTCAAGTCACCACCAGTCATGTTGCTCATTAAACATAAAAGATAAAACTAGAACAATTCACAGAATTTTCTTCAAGTCTCGCCGCATAGAGAACCATCTGAATAACATTTTAACAATAAATACCACGTGCCATGCCCATTTCAAAAAAAAAAAAACATGTGCCATGCATTGCAAGATTAACGAGGGGTCCAAATGAGATTGGGAGGAAACATAGTCCGAAAGCTAGCTTGAGGATATGCATACTGCAAAAACTAGTAAAAGGAAAAAGAAGGCCAAGGCACTTCAAAACTAATGTAATGAATAAACACGAAACAGGAAGAAAAATAACATTACCTCCTTTTTTCCTGCACCCCCCCCCCCCCAAA